GTTGTGCTCTGGATGTGAGAGGGAATCGGACTCGCCCACTTCTCGATTCTCTCGTTGCCACATTCGATGGGACTGACGTCATTGGTATCTGTTTATGGCGATGTCGGGCCACGGCTATCAGGCCCCATAAGGAGACAAATGAACGATCATAACGTATGGCCCTGCCATAAAATCCGTGTGGTGAAACTCCACTTTTTCATTCGCTTCATTTCGAAGCACTTTTTCATTCTTATTTTCCCTTGTTTATCTCCAATTCTTCCATCACTGGGCCCCGACTTTCTCCATCCGGGGTGACAGGACGAGACTCGTCAAACCAATTAGTTGACTGCTCTGTCCTTTTATGAATTTATTTTATGGTGAGGGTTTCTGTGGATTCCCGAGAGATCAAATAATATCCTAGAATCAATCAATTCCATAATTTTGTTTCGCACAAAAAAAATATATTGGCTTATTCCCAAAAAAACTTCGGAGATGATATTGATTCAGGAAAATTCTTCAGGTCATTGGAATTGATTATTATTAATTATTTATATTATTATTACACAATGATCAATTAATTTAACACAAATATTTGAAAAGGTTTGAACACGATTTAGCAATTGGCAACCGCACGATTTCTACGATTTTCAATGTTTCCCGCAGAATTGCGAATCCCTCAAATGACAAACAATTATCTAGTCACGATCAGGGTCACTCCTTTCCCCAGGAAATTATTTTTCCATAATTATTCCGAGACTCATCCGACTGCAAACGAAAACACTCGAAAATAACCCAATGAATCGTTAAATTATGATAAATGAATTTCTTAGGATAATCGATGGATATCTCGTAAATGAAGAGAAATAGAAAAATTTTCATGAGAATCTTTTTTGTAGAGCGGTCTGTGAACTTAAAAAAAGATTTATATAAATTTTTCGTTATCTCTCGCCGTTTAGAAGGTATTAGTCGATATTTGGGATAATCCCCGGAGGCTACTTGATTGATTCATTAAACAATTAGCACCAGTTACAATTTTTCAATTTCAAAATGCAGAAGGCGAATTCCTGTGTGTTACCGCGTATTGTCGGTACCGGAAATGAGATTGCGGTTATTTTTATATTCTACAATGAACTTGGGAGTACAGAGAGAGGCTCAGCATCCTGATCAATCGTTTTGCCGTCACCCTGTAACCGTTACTCGTGAATGCAAGTACAATTTCCTTGACAATAAGGCGATCCACTCGTCAGAGGAATGAGAAAATGGTGGAGGCAAAGAAAAAAAAATAAATAATGAAAGGGGAATAAGTGCAAAATTGTGTTGGATGCAGTCTGGAGGATTTATATCCTGATGCCATTTCTCAGAGGATTCGTGATAGGTTAAACTTCGAACGACCTATCGTTTAATTTTACAAGCCCCTTAGATGCTTCACCACTTCCTCATTTGATACTTTCGTTGTAACACTGTTATTTTCTCTTTGTACACATTTGAGTCTCCGCAAATGCAAAATTAGTTTTCTACGCTGAGAGAAATTGCGTTTCGAGAAGATCTACTTCATGCAAGAAAGCATTCTCTTCATGATCTTTAACAATGTCAAAGCACCTGATGAATAATTATTTTATCAGAGTGAGGAACAAAATAATTAAATTATAATTGCACTAGAATTTTTCGAAAGAGAAATTCTGTAGTTTTTTCTCTCAGTGCAAACGATTCACCACTAGTGCTTCGTTTTTAATAAATACTCCGGAATTCAGGGCTCGCATCGAAATTTTTATAATAACCTTTTCTCCAGATCTACTTAAGGGCTACAAAAAAGGTTCTTACAATTATTTCGCCATCGCCCTCAGATCCGGAGATAATTCCCAAAAATTCAGTGATCCCTGGAGCCGACCTGCACCGTTTTATATTTAATGTCTATTTTATTGCTTCGCTACTAAATTAACAATTGCACTCACATCCCCACCAGAACCTTGACGTATTGACTTCATTAATCAGTAGTAATTCCAAAAATATTCAGATTCCCCCCTTTAGTAATTAGACATAACGATAAAATCGATAAATCCCAATGCGCTCGCGAGAAAGATCGAAAGGCGAAGATCCCATGACGTTAGAAAGCTATTTTTTTTTTACCTAACGTAATTTTAGCGATAAGCTAATGCCTCATGCAGTCTGGAACGAGCTGGCATTTGAATGTTGGCATTAGCATGAATTATCCTTAAAACATGTTGATGCGTCTTCAGCATGAGAAGAGTAATCGTTGAATATTCCAATGTCAAATAAATTCCAGAATTCTAACACCAGTGAATTAATGAGTAATCTATTGTCATCTTGATTATCAGATATCTGATATAGTGGTTGGACAAGAGCCTAATGTTACTGCACGTGAGGCACTTCTGCGCTGGGCAAAACGATCGACAGCACGTTATCCTGGTGTTCGTGTTACCGATTTCACTGGTTCATGGCGCGATGGCCTCGCATTCAGTGCATTACTCCATCGAAATCGACCGGACCTCATCGACTGGAAGACAGCGCGTTCCTGTCAAGCCAGAGAACGACTGCATCA